GAGGAAAACTCACAATAGCTGAGAATCCTAGGTTCAAAAATAATAAGAATACTTTCTGGAACGATCGAAATTCGTATGTTTTTCTTCTGTATGTCTGAACACTGATAGTTATTGGGAGGATCTGTACTCGTACTTTATTTACAGGGACAGAGGAAATTTTGGGTTATTTGATGGATAAAGTCTTTCTACGTTAATCTACTTGTAACTTCTTATTCCTAGATAATGTATGTATTTCTGTAAGTTTCTGTGGTTTTGGCAACTTCTTGCGAAGTTTCTCAAGCGGAGTATCATGTGCTTTCCAAGTTTGGATCGTGTGGAGGAATCGTAAACGCGCAGATGTCCTTCCTATTAAATTCGAGACATTAGTGGAAGCCCTTAAAGCCTGTTTCTGGATGCACTTCATGATTTGCAATTGGAGAGAATTTCCCGCGTGTTTGTAATACAAGATTGGATGTGGGTCTTGCTGTAGTTCTTGGCCAACAGGAATCGTAGGGGTGGTCGTGAGAGGTTAAGGCAAAACTTTTCATATCGCGAAGAGACTCTCGGCAGATCATCTGTCGGCAGGAAATTGACGATTTCGTATAATAAATTGTCCAATTTACATCGGCGAGGGGCCGAATAATAAGTTTGAATGGTGCCGCCAATTGAATTCCTGCGACTCGTAATTAATCGAATTATTAGATTGGTCGGCTCCTTGATACTTCGCTTATAGGACGAAGATCTTGGACGATTTGGGTCGCCGTATTAAGGATGCTTAATTGTTTCACTTTTAGGAAAATTATCTACTACGTAACATTACTCGCAATCCCCCTTATCATCTTTGACAGTTTGATTCAATTCTTCCGAAGCGCGAAATACGAAATCATCCAGTGATGAAATTAGTTCCTTCGAATCTTAAATTAAATATGCAGCTATATATATATATATTCACTTCAATTTCTATCCGATATAAAAATCAATATCACTTCAAAATAAAAGTATTAATCAAAAGGCAATACTTCAACGTAATATGTATTAACGTAGCGTTCATTGAGTCTTTATATCAATCTTGAGAGTTTCTTCTTTCATTGTTTGCGAGCTCGACACGTGATAGACATATCAGTCGGTTACACTCGAGAATCAAACACACTTGAATACAGCTCGAAATCTCACTTGAGATGTTCAAGACATTTGAGACATTCGAGATGATTTCTATTGTCGCCTCGATAAAAGCATATAAAAGTATACAGTAAGGAGTGGAGTGTCGTTCGCCGAGTGCGAAATGATCAAAATTTCTTCAGACTTCAAGATTCCGGCTATTTTAAGCAATTGTTAAGTGGCTTCTCCAGCTCAACCGGACGCATTTACACACGAGTATCTCATCACGCGAGCTTTCACAAACCTGGACACGCGTCGGTTAACTCAAGTCTATCAATGACTACTTAGTCGCCGGTTACGTCGGGTTATCGGTATTCTTGTATACTGTGTACGTATATGTATATGCACCACTTAGATGGCGCCAGTGTCTGAATGATTGAGCGTTCAATAAATCAATCGTATGAGAATAATTAACGGGTGGGAAATTACATTGACTTTTAGAAGAGTCCGATCAACGCAAACAAAAGTGTTGAAATACTTCTTTGTGTATCCTGGGAAATGACATCGACGCGCAGTGGGACTTTCTCTGAGTCTTTTCTTTTCTCGTTTAGCCGAGCACTTCTTGCATGCACTCGGGCGTCTATCGAGTCACACTCGTTTCTTTGTTGTGGAATGCACTCGCGTAAAATTCTCCTTTTGTCCGAGTGCTATTCCCGTTCGCTCTTACCGAAAATGCCTCGACGTGTATAAATAACGATATTTGCTTTTGGTTGATTAATGCTCGCGCTTGGCACCCATTAACGGCTACCGAAGCTGGATCGATTGATTGCCTTCGTTTCTTCTGTGTACTAGGTAGGAATTAATTTTGAGGATGTTAATGAGGCAATAGTAGCAGCGACCACGAAGTTGGAACAGAACGAATATTTATGAAATCGTTACTTGTTTTTCAATCTTGGTATTTGTAGTTTGGTAACAAGATCTATCCCGTTTTGAATTTCTTTTGTGATTATTTAGTGTCAATGAGTCCTCCGAACTCAGATTTGATATCATGACTGAACCTTGTACGAGAACTTTTTTATTGATATATCTTTCTGTTAGGGAATAAATGCAGCAAGTGAATTAACATTAAAATCCTTACTTTTTACATCCTTACTTTCGGTACGTACAGATACAATTTATTATCAATATTGTGGATGGAACAGGTTTCAAATTCGGGGGACCACGTTCGACTATTCATTGTCGAATCGCAGCGTCAACGGTTACTGTCAGTATCGCTTTTGAAAATGGTCGATTCGGTGCGTCCCTTAGGTATACTTTCCACTCTTTGAAAGTGTTCTGGGATTCTTGACTCAGAGGAAGATAAATGCAGTGTATCCTGTCGTCTATTAAGAGTTTTTCGTGACCGCATGTACAATGGTCAGCCATCCCACGCAAGATAAATTCTGAATGAGGCCAGTTACGAGAAGACCTTTCGACTAACATAAAATTTAGAAACCACCGAATCCCCATTGCACGGCAATCGTTATAGCGATTTATTTCGACAAAATTCTTAGGCAGGTGATCACCTTCGATATTTAGTAGTCCTGATAAATTCATGCGCAAGCGTAATATGACATAATAAATAACGAGCGATAAGGGACTTTCTCATAATCGGTTGCCATAACGGAATGTATCTATAAGCGGTAAAAAAATGTATATAGCGTAGAAAAATTTACCAAGACGAGTGGGTAGGCTGTGTGAAGCTCGAGTTTAATAGTCCGAAAGATAGGGAGAGCACGTAATAAGAACGATAACAAACGAGTGAACGAAGATGATAATGACGGTTATGATGATTACGATAAACCGATAGAACCAAAAGCGCCGCGCCGCGATTACGTGGGCGCGTCTGAACAATTTGCCCAACTACCTGTTTCAGATAAGCTTCAAAACATCACTTGAGTTTGTATCAAAACTACAATCCTTTTTACATGGTTCCTCTTTAACGGTAATCCTTCCATTCTATTTCTTGCCGTATAGTGCGGCACTTCCATGACGCAGTTGCTGTCATTCGTCAGACCTATCAAAATCAGTGTAACATACGGTGGGCGTAATGGTCACAGTGCTCACCAAGTTATTTGTAATTTGGACGTGTACTAATAAGCGCAACGCCAACAAGCGCGACGCTGTCAAGAGCTACGTATGGCATTTTATTAATAACTTATCGGCTTGGGTAACTAGCCGACGGATTACTCGATTCTTCTAAAATTGTAAAATATATGTCATCCAGTGGCATTCACATAAAAAATATGATAGGTGTGAGCCATGTAAATTGAAATCTTTTTAAATTATCTTTACTAGTGCGAGTAGTACTATACACCGAATATGAGTACAGATATGAATTACCTTGTGGGAAAGTTATTGCGTAATATGAGTGCATTAGTAAATATAAAAAATTGTTAATTATACATACGGACATGATGATGCTTCATGTAACGGGTATGCAAATGACGTACATTATATTTGTGAGAAAAAAATGTGTTATTGTTAGTATACAGGGTGGGGCATTTATAATGACCAGGTTAATTTTTTTGGAAACGGAGCCAGATATAAAAAAATATTTCAGACAGAAGTTATAGGGTTTCAAGGAGGACGGATGATTTCATTATTGAACTCCTTCCTGAGTGCTGGTGTTAAGATAATTCGAAGGTCAACTTTTATTTTTTCAATGGGACGATGCAATACTTCTTCCGGAAATCAAAAGAGCATTCAATTTTGAATCTAAAAGTAGAAGTACACTAATCATCCAAAATCTACAGGTGATGAGATATTTTTAAAATATGAAAAAATATCCGTTCTAGGTAGCCGCCGTGTTTACCTGGGAAATACTGTGTACGCGGCTTAAAGCGTGATTCTACAAGAGCCATTAGCTGGCGCTCCACTAGGATTCGAACTCCTTGTGGAATAGCGCGAAGGGGAGATGAGGGAGAGGGGATAGTAGATAGTAGATCCCAGGTAATGTAGAAAACGGATATTTTCCCTTATTTTTGAAACATCTTATCACTTGTCAATTTTGGGTCATTAGTATACTTGTACTTTTAGACTCAAAATTGAAGGTTCTTTTGATCTCCGGAAGAAGAATTACATCCACCCCTTTGAAAAAATTAAAATTGATCTTCGAATTATTTTAACGCCTGCACTCAGGAATAAATACAACAGAATCTTTCGTCCCTATTGAAACTATATAACTTTAGTCTGAAATATTTTTTTATATCTGGCTTCGTTTAAAAAAAATCGACCTGCTCACTATATATGCCCCACCCTGTATACTTTAATGTTGTCAGGAAATTTGGTTTTAAGCAAATAAATGATATTGTCAAGTTTTCGAGATGTGTTACAAAGAGAGACTTGAGCTCATGGTAGGATCAACACGGCACTGTGTTTACCATGATTAATTGGCAGTCAAGTGAGCTTCAATTGAGATAATCGGTTTGTTCGAGTGTAACGATACCGTAAAGCCTGATTTACGCATTGTTGTCTTGAATGGCGAATAGAATCTACGTACATTTAGCATTGAAAATGTTCTTGATATGCAAATTAAGGCGAAGACTCAAAACTATATTCGTTGAAATACGTAAAAGGGAGAGCTATGGAAACAGTTCAAGAGAATACGGATTAGAGTTGTATTAAAGTTAGATAATAAATTGTGCAGTTTAGTAACGATAAGAACAATAAAAATATACGAATACTTATTAGTATAATTATCACAGTCTTTGCTGTTAAGCGTTAAGTAGCTTATGTTTTTCGTAAATTTAATAAAAAACATTTATATATTGTATTATATATTGTGGACTAGAATTAGTTTGCGTCAATTAAATATGCATTTAAGAAAATTAATCAGGATTTAATAAAGAGAAAGTTTATGCTAATGTAATAGCGAGACTTACCTCTTCTAATTGTATCGTATCGATTTTCATAAATTTTTTGTTTCATTTAATATTCACGGTTTTGTTATTGTCAGGCCCTTATCATTAATACATTTACAATATTTGCGCAAACCTAATGCACATTAATTATGAGTTGTCTTTTTTTAAATACAATATCTTCCTTCACTTCAGTTCTTTGTGGTCCTGACATATATTCCGTATATTCGCTCAATATTATTTTTCCCCTCATTTATTTTCGCAGTCGTTTTATCGACCGTCTGAACGTTTCTCCAAAGAATTCTCACGCAAGAAAAGATATTCGTTCACGCGATCCTTATCCACAAAAAAAAAACAAACGTATTCTATTACAAATTAAAGAAATTCATGGCAAAGTAAGAAAATTGGAGCGTAATCGCTTATTCGTTCCCAAGAAAAATACTATTAAATACTATTTAAATTGGTAGCTACCAAAACTTCTCAACTAATAAATGTATCGTTATAGCCAAAAAGTAAAAAGTACAGTGTTCACAAATATTCATACGGTATGCCTTCACAAATACACAGTTTCGAATTTCGGTGCATTTCGCGCGCGCCCCTTTGTCACAGAAAGTTCGAAATTAGCACGATCCCGTACGCAGCCAGTCACTGCTACTGAATTCGCAGTATGACGCTACTCTCTCCTTTCGACGTAGGAAAAAGTTTCTGGGTGGTGGCAGAGTTCATGAGGGGTTCGTGCACGTGACACTTTTTATCGGGAAATCACACGTGTCATGCGAGATTATTGGCCTTTGTGAAAGATTTGACAAATGGTCCACCGCATATGGCGCGTCGCGCTCGACTGAGGGCACATTTTGCTCCACCATCCTCTCTTTCCGATCTACCCCCACCATTCAGGCCTGGTCTACCATTCTCAACATCATGCTACAGTACAAACGCACTACGCAAGCTCTGTACGAGTTTTCCGCACTTTTCACCGAAACTTTTTCTTCAGTCTCACTCATGCACGAGGATGATCTAATTCATACTTGAATTATGACTTTTTTAAATTTTTTTATTAAAACGAAGTGAGACTAAATAACTGAGACTTGTGAAATTATATTTTCACCGATATTTGTAATTATTAATTATATTATGCATTTTGTTAGCCAATAATACTATCTGTATAGCGGTGACTTCCATGTTTACCCAAAATTACCCTGGAATTGTAACTTGTTTAAATAATATATGGAATAGCAGTTTCTCTTGGCATTAAAATTAATCTTGTTTCGATTTATATTTGTCACTAATATAAAACAATAATTAGGAATACGATAATCCGTGCACGATCTGGTAATACAACTGTTCTGGTAATGTAATGCCGAGATGTGATTGGAATAATACTGCGTGCCTCATAACTTCTGCATGGCATACATACTTCGACGTAATTTATGAATCGAATTTTCAAAAAAAAATTAATTTCTGAAATCAATTTTATCAGCATGAAGAAAATAATGAGTGCCTCTCAAAACTATTTTAACTCCTCGAATTACCTTTAATTGCATGCTTGGCCCATGTAATATCCTACCGAAAATTGATTTATGAATACGGTCTTGAAACCTTCCACTAAACTGTTATATTATCTTGTGAAATCATCGATATTCCGTCAATAGCTTCAGCGGAGTATTGCACGTAAATTTTAACGATTTAGTGGCGAATGGGATTATCTTATATAAAGAAGGATCATGAGATACAGAGTTCACGAGATTGAATAAGAGATTTCCTTTTGAAAATCGATATTTACTCAAATAATCTGAAAGATAGCATCCGTCGGATTAACTGGGACACGTGCGCAGTGACGAGTAGGCAGTAGGTACCAGGCCGTATCTCAAAATTCCGGCAATAAATCAGCCGGCGCTCTATATTTAGACCTTTTAAACCCAGGAAAGATTCCTCTGTGAATTCCCGCATAATTACATAAGTGTTATTTTAGACAGTTATACATTGGAACTGAAAGCGGCAAAGATTTATCGCAAAATTGAGCGACTGCTGATCTTCACTGATTTGCAAGATCTACTTACAAACAGGTTCACTTTGTTAGGGCAACGAAAGTCCTTTTACTCGCTCTTTTTTCTTAGGACTCGTTCTTGTATGATCACGTTCTGCGTGATAAATATTAGACCTCAAATTGTACGTCGATCTAGCGATAGATATTTTGGACTTTTGTAGTATCTATATTTGGCGTTGCGGAAACGTCGGTCATATAGAAACTTTATGCATGCCTGCACGTGGACCAGAGTTTACAATGCTGGCTTGCAAAATGTAGAAGACTGCTCTAGTTTTCACTCTTTGCATCATGACAGTCGATGAGTTGGCTCTTTTCACTTCAACACGTCACACTTCTAGGATATTGAATATGTCACTGTCATGCCTGGAGTTACTTGAGCATTTTACCAATAATTTTTTCTTCATATCTTTTTCATTTAAATTCGGTACATTGTTGCTCGCATATCCAAACCCTAATATAGTATCGGAACCGGTTTATACCAATTAACATGTAGCTATGATGTCGTAGCAATGAAACTTAGGAAAGAAGCTTCACCTGAAGATAGTTTTGTTGTAGGAATCAAATGGATACATTAATTTCAGGTGCTGCAGTAGTCCTGAATATTTGTATATATTATTTATATTCGATGACAAAAGGTGTGGGCGCCAGTGGGACATGAATTAAATGGAATAAACATGTGGATATATGTTGGACACTGTATTTCTCTATATGGAGATAAGAACAATAAAAAACAATAAAGGTATACCATGTAAGGCTAATTTCTAGATTTCTCTCAGTCTCTTTGGCGATCAGATACTTCGATATCGACAGTAGCTGCTGAGGTTGAGAGTTTGTAAGATGGAAAACTGTTTGACATACGCAGGGGTTAAAAGCAAGCAGGGATGGAAACTCTTGAGGGTTGGTAACGCGGCCTGTACTTCAGAGCCACCCTAGACTTCCTGAAACCCCAACAAAATTCCAACTGCTATCAATTATATTCAAAGCACGGACCAGTACTAAGGGCGAATGGCGTATGTGCTGCAGCAAATGGTACTTTCATTGCACAAGCCTCTCAGCTTTGCATCGCAGCCAGATTTACGGCGGGAATTTATTACCTGCTTTCCTTCTGTCGAAATTCACCGAAGCCAGTTCGATTTTCCTTCGAAATTTTTAGTAATGTACTGAAAATAACTCTGTGAAGCTTACGTACACCGAACGATGGATAAGTGATCGTCGGAAAGAGTGGAAACAAAGGAAAGGACGAGAAAATAACGAATTTCTCTGTACGTCCTTTGCGAATGTGAAAACTATGGTTTGTCAATATACAATTGGAAACTCCGTTGCATTTACAGTCTCCGACCTTGAGTAATTCAATAATAAAGAAAATAAAGTAGCACTCATATCATATTATAGTGAGATATAAATTAGTCTATAATATGTAATACTAATTGGTATAAATGAATTGGAATATTACAGTGATTTATTTATACTATCTATATATTCTGATGGTTCTGAAAGTGGTCCAAGTCTCAATTATAGAAAAGTTAAGTTAATTTATAATGAATATTTTTTTTAACACGTATGATTGTATGATTAATTTCGCGATTGATCGCGGAATTTGTGTTGTTTCAACAAACAAAATTGACTTAAACCACATTCATAATCACTAGTCTGGAAATCAGTCATATCTATTTTGTTATAATAAAAAGACGATTCTTAAATTATTTCCCAAATATACGGGTAGACCTATGTATGAGAGTGCTGCGCTTTTTGGACATATCATCAGCCATTGGGTACGTGTCGAACCTCGAAATCGGTGCAATTTGAAGAGTATCGATAATCCTGATTTCGTATTTTTGTGGAAAAGACCCTTCTTTGTCCCCCAACAATTGCATTCTGAACGTGACTCGATTGCATACAAGTATGTACAGTCTATAGCAGGAGTCTGACAAGAGGAAAGTTGACAATGCGTTGGGGAAACAAACTTTCAGCATATGACGTATCTTAAACAAAAAATGTAATACGCAAGAGTCGTGTACCTTTTGATATTGATGCAGATTTTACTACATTTAAGAGGAAAGACAGTCTCTGCCAAAAAAAAAATGGCAGTGGTCCTACGAAACTGGAAATACTTATTCAATTGTAATTAGTTAAGGTCGTCTCGATACTCGAGATTACGGGAAGCAGCAGCTGCATCCTGAACACACCCCTTCTACATTTATCTTAATTTTACGCGGTGGCAGTACAAGGGTGTGATTTCTACGTTGTGAGTTTGGCCTCAAGATCAGACACAAACAATCAAATGACGTTACTAATGCGACCTAGTACCAGTTTGATGACTGAGCTCTTTCTTAATAGGAGGGGTTGACGATCCTTGACCCTCGGGAGGGTAGTCGGTTAGACAAGCAGGGCGGTTCGTGAGAAATGACTTCTTTGGGATTAGTTCGAGAATTATGGTCGAGATATTGTGCCTCGTGAAAGATGGGACTTCCTAATCGTTCGCTTTATTAAGTAAGACCGACGTCATAAAGAGAATAACTTTTCCCAATTTGCCAAAACAATAACACTATATATTGGCAGGTAGGCTAGCGTACCATGTACTCGTACAGCTCTGTTTCCTCATTCTAAAGAAATTAATGATAATTATCAAAACGAGTGCTACGATAACTCGGCAAACGCAAATTGATTTGTTAATTTTGTAAAACGAAAATGCAGCAAGGGTTGCAGAGTGCAGCAGGACCAATCATCGACGTGCGCTTGTTTCTGCCCGGAGCAGACTTTCCCATGAGACCGTTGGAGCAGTTTAACATGTTGCAACGTTCAATTAAATTGTGTGTCTGGACGCGGTTTTGGCTTGTGTGTTTTGACGTCACCTTTACAGCCCTCGATGGATAAAGTATTCCATATTGCGTACCCTGCGCGTATGCCAGTTGTTTGCACGACTAGGATCAAATTTACACAGCTATTGGGAAGCAAATAAACATGGTAGTTATCATATGAAACAAAACAAAATTCTCTCCGGCATCTTTCTCAAGTTACTTCGATATTCGTTGGGAACGATGTCATTAATTACTTCAGTATTTGCTTGAGAGAATATGAAATTCTTCTGATAAGCGTCGACCTGAATGATATTAATAAATGTACGCTAAAATAAAATGATGATGACTTTTTATACTAAATTTTCTTTTCAAGACTTTAAATATTTTTAAAGCTTTATGATGTTACTCAATTTTCCTGTTTCGTGCTAAGCTTGGAAATATTACAAAGTCATTGGCGCCTGGTGATAAAGAAAAAATAAGAAATGCAAACATTTTCGACCTGCAGGTATTTTCGAACGTCGCGGAGCTCTTCCGCGCGATAGTAATCGCCGGCTGATTCCCAATCTCAATAAAGCCAGTAATAGACCAGTTACAACCTAACAGGATCCCATCCCTCCGTTCCTCTACTCTCTATCCTTTCCTTCGTTCGTTAAATACAAACAACACAGTATCGAAGGTATTACAGGCGCAAGTGCCATTGAAAAATGGCATGAGCCCCTACCCGTCGAATGAACCAAAGTGGCCGTGCTGAAACTGAACAAATATTCTGAACATTTTCCTGAAAATATATTGAAGCATATATTCAGTAACCAAACAGCCTACATGGGGTCTCTATTAAAGCTTATAGCCCATACAAATAATTTCAATTTAATTGTCCATAGCGTTTGGATTACAACCCAGAAAAAAGAAAAACAAGTACGAAATGTTATTAATATCATACAATTTATATAATTTTAATAGTGTGCAGGATAACCGACAGTATT